GGACAGCGTAGGCCACAGCAGGCTCTGAAAGGCCAAGACAGGACCTTCTCCTGGCTCGGGAGACCAGGCCCAGGAGGGAACCACGTTGCTTTTGGAGGCTGCGCTTGGGCTGTGACATTCAGGGACACCCAGGGCCGCCGGGAGCTGTCATCTTGGTGACGCACATCTCCGAGTCCAGCTGCAGACCTCCCCTCCGTTCCGTGCGGGGCCTGGAAGCAGCACTGAGGAAGGAGCGCCTTCATTCCGCACAGAGCCCAGGAGGCCTCGGGAGAAACCAAACCTGCCGCCACCTTCACCTTGGACTTGCAGGCCCGGGGCTGTGGCATCCACGTCCACGGTGGCCGGCAGGTGGGAAGGTGAGGGCTCCCGGGCGCAGGCAGCTCGCCCAGGGGCCAATGGCAGCGCCGCCCGGAGCACGGCGGCCACGGCCAGCAGGCGGGACCATCACTGAGTGCAAAGCGAACGGAAGTGACGCCACAAAGGGCCCTCGAGGGTCACAGAACGCGGCTGCTTCCTCTGGAAACTGGCTTCGCTCCCGGGAGGGACTGAACAGCCGCCGGCTGCCGCCGCGTCTGCAGCGGCCGCCTTGCCAGGGCCGTCCCCAGCCAAGGTCTGGGCGCCCACTGCTTCCAGGCAGACCGTCCCCACGCCATGAGCATGGAAGGGCCACGCTAACAGCTCACAGCCGGCCCTCAGCCTGAACTTGTCGCGTGGCTCCGGTAAAGAAATGGCTCTGAATGGTCAACAATCAGAGCACAGAGCAACAATGCAATGGAATGAAAGCCATGAGTAAAAACCTGAGTGAGGAAGCGTGCGCGGTGGAGAACACCGCCTCCTGAACATGAGAGTTCAGAAGAGAAAGACTGAGGAGAAACAAGCCTGAAAAGCAAACGGAAGGGAAGGCTCCGCCACGAATAAAGACCAGCCTGTGACCAGAATGTGGGCTCTAAAACCAACAACGTCAATAACAGAAATTCAAACGCAAAACAAGAATCACACCTGGACACTATCGAGTGACATTCCCAACTCTAGCTCTCAGGAAATAAGAGCGAATTATTGAAACAGGGAAGGGAATCCATGGCCCCGGACTCCGCCTGGGCGCACGTACAGTGCCAGGCTCCGGAGCCGGCCTGGGGCCGTGGAGAGAGAAGGTTCTGAGCCAGATTTCTCGGCTCGGCCAAAACCATGCCAGGGGAGGCCGGAGAGGGGCTGAGGGATGTGTAAGGGTTTAAAAACGTAAACTGCCCTGTTCCGATCTGGACAAAAGACACGGGCACGCTGCATTAAGGAAAATCAAACTGAAAACAAGATACTCAGGTGAACTGCCAGTTACCAAAGAATGGGGACAAGATGGACAGAGGGGGGGGAAAAAAAAAAACGAAAAAAAAAAAACACACTTGACCAACAGAGAAAAATAAGAAGAGTAAAAAAAATAGGCAAGGAGAAACTGTAAAAAATAGTTTTAAAAAAAAAACAACACACATAAAATGAAGATATAAGACCAAAGATATGAGACATCTCAATAAATGTGACCAAATCCCTCCCATGACTGACACGCATTCTGAAGCAGAGTTAGCAAGCACGGTTGGTCATGCCTCCTTAGGAGAAAAGCCTAACAGACTACAAAGTGAACTTGAGAAGAAGAGGCGGAGACGTCAGCCAGAGTAAACACCGCGGGGCTGGCAGCACTGCTCAGACAGGACTGGAGAGCAGGCACTTTAAACAGAGCAGACCGGAACACTTCAGCATGACAGCAGCACGCTCCAGCGAGAACACGATCATGAATCACAGTCCTTAGTGGCACTGTTCCCGGACACACGGGCCAACCTTCTCCGAACACAGGAGACACGTGAGTCCCGTCGCTGTGGGACACTCAGCAGCTCTCCTGGACACGGGCAGGCCATGCTGTCCGCGTCTGGAGAAACGGGGCCTCGGAGAGCTGACGTCACAGACTGGGTCTTCGGACGGTAGAGGCAGCGAGCACACTGAACGCGTTTGGGACGGAGCGGGATTTGAGATGCTTTCTGTCCAGATCGGTGTCGGCCGTCTCAAAGGTGGTCGTGCAGAGAGAAGAGCTAACAAGTCACTGACAATCCTGTTCCCTGGGACCCGGCCTGTCCGGCTGGGAGGGAGCCTTTGAACAGCGATCGCAGCCGGAAACGAGGGTGGGGGGTCTCAGTGACACACTGCCCCCCGGGAACCTGGTTTGTAAACCTGCTTTCCTTCCATGGGAAAACAACGGAAACGAAGCCAGCGGTGGTGGACCGGGCAGGGAGAGAGCATCTAGGCACCCGATGGGCCGGCTGACCGCGGGGAGGCTGTGCGGGGGAGAAGTGTTCCCAGGAAGCCGGTCTCCGGGCTTCACAGGGTCAAGTGTGAGTTCTGGGGATTGACTTACTCCTGGTCGTGAGCACTGTCGGCTGTGGGACCAAAATGGAAATCTAGCAACAAAGCCTGGGTTTTACATGTTACAGGCGCTCGTCCGCCAGGCCTGCAGGGGAGGCGGGCTGGCTGCCTGCTGGCTTCTAGAGCAGTCCCTGGAGCCCTGTTCAACCAGGAGAAGTGAGGCCGCCCCGCCCTAGATCCTCAACATCTTCCTCGACCAATCAGAGCAGCTCCACTCTGACCAATCAAGGTAGTCCTTTTGGACAACCAAACGGGTGAGGAGTCCTTATTTGCATACAGACAGGCCAATCAGGGGTCAGGGGCAGGGACTTCTGTCTAGGTGAGGGTTAGGGCTGGCGTTGGGTTTAGGGTGAGAAACCGGTAAGAAATTTGGATTCAAAGTCAAGAATTGAGGACACGTCACAGGCTCCAGCTGCTCGAAGGATGACGAAGCTCCTTGGTTCCAAGGAGAGAGGTTTCCCTTGTCCTCTTTCCAGGCCCAGTGGCCGTGACGGGGCTCCACCACCACGCCCCGGGCTGCTGGGTGAGGTCTGCAGCGGGTCTGACCGGCAAGGGCCAGCGTGTCCATCAGGAGCCCAGCACCTGCTCGGCACGGGCACGGAGCCCACAGAAACCGCCCTTCCCGGGAGCAAAGGGCCTCGGTGGCTGCGCGGTGTCTGTATTCACTCCCAAAGTTAAACCTGCCTCTCACACAAACACGAAGCGAGCACGTGTCCAACATGTATGTGACATGCATGTAACTCATCACGGAGCCGGCTGGCAGGGCAGGGAAGGCGGATCAGAGCGCACGTGGACTTCGCTGGCTTTTAAAAACGTGAGCGCGGTGTGGCCCCATTTGTTAGATACACGAGCGGCCCGGGGCCTGCCCGGCACCCCAAGCCCCGCCTGGGCGGCCCCTTTCCTGGGGGACAGAGCCCCGGGCTGCGCAGCTCCCCGCGAGGGGGGCGGTTAGCACCAGCAGGCGGTCCGCTGCGGGTGGTACTCTCCGGAAATCAGGGGGCACCACCTAGGGGAACGGAGGGACATGCCTCCGGCCTTATTTTCACATTTTAAATGGTTTGTCTGAACGATCCCTGAGGGAGAGATTCTAAACCAGCCACTCACTCCTGCACTTCCGCGGAGGCCGCGTGCATCACTCACACCCCACCAGGCGCGGCGGCCTGGCCCCGCGGCTCCCGCCCTCCGTCCGGCCAAGAACCCGACACTCCGCTCCCAAGGCAGCTCAGGAGCAAGTGAGGTGAGTCTGCACCTTCATCAAGACCTCATGGGATGGGCACGCCACGGAACCTTCTGGAAAGTGTTCCCGGGCTTCCCAGGACAGATGGCGGGTCCTGTGCTTGGCCCTCCCGGGCCTGAGCGAGCCCAGGCGGCGGCAAGGATGGCGTCCGGGAGCTCTGAACCGGTTTAAGGCTGCTCCCCCTCGTTTTCTCTGGGACAATGGCTCCCCATCAATCAGTGTCTTCCCCTAAAACCCCTGCTTCCTCAGGGCATGTTCACCCTGAATCCTCTTAGGCTGAGTGATCCCAGTGTCACCGTCTTCATCGTCTCCTAATCCTATTAGCCGTGCTTCCTGCGCCTCTGGGTCCCCCTGGGCCAGGACGAGGATAAGAGTTCCCTCCTCGCCGCCGGCACAAGCCAGGCCTGCACCCAGGGAGCTCTCTCCCACAAAAGCAAGCCTGGCTCCCCCGCGCCCCATCAGCACCCCCCCACGTCCTCCTGGCCCTCAGCACCCCCCCACGTCCTCTTGGCCCCACCAGCATCCCCCCACCCCCCACCCCCCACATTCTGTCCGCTGGCTCGTCTCACAGAGGCGGCTGCGCTGGGTGAACGCACGCAGGACCAAACCATGGTGGCGAGTGTCCCTTGAGAGCCCTGGCTGAGGGCCCGCCACCAGGAAGCTCCTCCGGAAACAGGGAGCCGCCATCTCCCGGTGACCTCCTCTCCCCGCTACTTCCGCCCGCAGTGCCGAGACCCTCCTCCCGGCTGCTCCTCAGAGCGGAGCCTCTGCCTCTGCAGGAGGGAGCTGATCCGGGCCCTGAAGACTGAGCAAAGAGCTGACCCAGGCCGCCTGCAGCAGCAGGGGGCGGCCCCGGGCTGGCGCTGGCTCCCCGGAGTCCCCAGGGTTAACAGGCCCAGGGCTGGCGCTGGCTCCCGGAGTCCCCAGGGGGCGGCCCGGGCTGGCGCTGCTCTCTGCTCTTCAGTGTCCCCACAGCTAACAGGAGGCAGAGAAAAGCCTCGCCAACACCCACCCGAGACCGTTTACTACTCAGATCACAGTCACACAATGCCGCATGACTGTGCTCTCCGCATGTTTTATTCTGCATGGTTATACAGTGTGAGTGATCAGCTCACAATCCAAGGTAGTTTGATAAGTTTTGTTCTTCCAAATGGTGTTAGTGCTTAGGGCAAACATATTACATTTACTGTGACAAGATCAAGAGCGATGTATTTGACTGGGACAGGGGCTCCCAGCAAAGCGGATCGAGAGCTAACCACACCCGCACCCTCACGTGGCACCTGACACACTTCATGTAAAGGTCAGGCGTGTGAATTATTCACCGGATGCTCAGAGGTGAGAGAGCTGAACAGAACCCTCACTTCCTCTTCTTTGTGGAATACAGCTTTTCTTCCAGAGGGACCGGGACAATCCCTTCGCACGCCTTCACTTCCTGGGTCAGAGGGTGTCTTACAATATTCCGTCTGATGACGTCAATGTCTCGAGACAAGTGCTCCATCATGCTTTCCACAGTGGTTGTTGGTGAATAAAAATCCACCAAGAAGTACCTGCAATCAAACAGAAACTCATGAATCCTGCCTTCTGAAATACAACACTCCCACTCTCTGGGCCAATGCCTTCATCCTGCCCCTCGGATAGAGACATCGCCCACACACAATGCGTCCTACAGCCGCCCCACTAAACAGTGTGCTGGCACACCCAGCTCCCTGTCCCCGTGTCCCTTCCCATTACCCTGTGGTGAACATTGGAGTCCAAACAAACTTTAGGGCAGCAAAAAGCCTTGTGACATTACATAGAGTGGGAAACAGAAGTTATGGGTGCAAACAGAATATGCTGTTCAACAAGATTGAACTTTTCAACAAACCATAGGGTAATGTTTTTTGTGAAAACATCTAATTCTCCAAATGATTTTACAAGTGGCTTGATGTACCGAAGAGACATAGTGAGGCCATCAGCTACCCTTCACAAACAAGGAAAAGGATTAAGACCGACCGGCCTGGGACTTGTCTAAGGCAGGTGCACATTCAAAAACTGACCACGAACAAAAACAAAAAAACACTTCCCCATCACAGGGAAGGAAACAAACTTCCGATCCTGGAAGCCCAGAGAGTTCCAAATAAGAACCCACTGAGACCCACACTGAGACGCATTATAACTGAAATGACCAGACTTAAAGGCAAGGAGAGAACATTAAAAGCAGCAAGGGGAAAACTACTTGTTACATACAGGGAACTCCCATAAGGCAACCAGCAGACATGTTGCAGCCAGAAGGGAGCGCCACAATATAGACAAAATGCAGAAAGAAAAACTTCCAACCAAGAATACTGCACGGCACCACTGGCCAGTGTGGCTCAGTTGGTTGAGCGCCATCCCATGCACCGAAAGGCTGCTGGGTGACTCCCGGTCAGGGGACATGCCCAGGCTGTGAGTGTGACCCCTGGCTAGGACATGTACAGGAGGCAGCTGACCCATGTTTCTCTCATACTTCTCTCTCTCTCTCTCTCTCTCTCTCTCTCTCTCTCTTTTCCTCTCTCTAAAAATAAATAAAACTGTAAAACATATCCTTAGTTAAGGATTAAAAAAAGAAAAAGAGCACTTTATGGCAAAGTTATTAATCAGAATTGTAGGAGAAAAGGTTTCCCAGAAAAGCAAAAACTAAGGGAGTTTATCATTACTAAACCAGCCTTACAACACAGGGACTTCTTTCAGCTGAAAAGTAAGAGTGCTAATTAATAACAAAAAAAACAAAACAAAAAAAACCCACGTGAAATACAATAAATCTCACTGGAAAGGTGGGTATGTAATAAAGGTAGTAGATTTATCGCTTATAAAGCTAAAGCTAAAGAAGGTTAAAAGCTAAAACAGTAACAATAACTGTGGTTATGATAATTAGTTGAGGGACATACCAGGTAAGAGATGTAAAGTGTGACAGAAACTGTGGGGAGCAGAGAAATGCTGAGCTGTAGAACGGGAGCAAACGAGTTGTTACCAACCTAAAGCGGACGGTTATGGGTGTCAGCTGTCACATGTAAGCCTCGTCATAACCACCGAGCGAAACCCTTCAGTAAACACACACAGAGGAGGGATGAAAGTAAGCCACTAACCAGTCGTCAACTACTCAGGGAGAGAGCCAGAGAAGGGACTGAGAAACTACGAACAGCCTGTAAACCATCAACAAAAGGACCATCAGCCCTTCCCCATCAGTAACTACTGTGAATGTAAACGGACTAAGTTCTTCAGTCACAGACACCGAGAGCTGAATGGATAAAACTAAAACCCCTTTATATGCGGCCTCCCCTTAGACGTAGGGAGACGCAGACTGAAGATGGTGGGATGGAAAGGCGTTCGGTGCCAATGGAAACACTAAAAGCTAAGACGGCTGTATTGGTGGCAGAGACGGGCATTACAGGATAATAAAGGGGCTAACCGCCAGAGGATGGAACACTTGTAAACGTGTGTGCACCCAGCACAGAAGCACCTCCTTATGTACAGCAAACATCCAGAGACCTGAAGGCAGAAACAGACAGCAGCACAATAGTGAGGGGTTTTAACGCCCCACTTACCGATGTACTGAACATCCAGACCAAAAACCAGGAAGGAAACATCTGCCTTAACTGACACATGACACCAGCTGGACTTAACTGATACACAAAGACGTAACAGCCAAAGCAACAAAACACACATTCTAGTTAGGTGTACGTGGAATATTTTTCAGTTATATCATATGTTAAGCCACAAAACAAGTCTTTTTAAATTTTTTTTATTATTAATTTCAGAGAGGAAGGGAGAGGGAGAGATTGAAACATCACTGATGAGAGATGAATCACTGATCAGCTGCCTCCTGCACACCCCCTCCAGGGATTAAGCCTGCAACCCAGGCGTGTGCCCTTGACTGGAATTGAACCCGGAACCCTTCAGTTCACAAGCCGATGCTCATTCCACTGAGCCAAACTGGCTAGGGCACAAAACAAGTCTTAATAAATTTTAAAAAAATAAAATAATGCCAAGCATCTTTTCTGACTATAATGGTATGAAACTAGAAATTAATTACACATGTAAATCTGGACAATTCATAAACATGTGGAGATGAAATAACATGCTACTGAGCAACCAATGAATAAAGAAGAAATTAAAGGAGAAATAAAATGTAAAAACACCTTGAGATGATGAAAATGAACATACAGGTTTCCCTCGCTGCCCAAAAGCAGACCACGCCTGTGAAGGCTTTCAGAAGCCGAAATGGACCAAGTGAAGAAGCAATTATTATTAATTTATATGAAAAAAAATTTTTAATGTTCCCAGACCCACAATGTAATGTACATGCCATGTTTTCATTCCATTCCCATGGTCAGACTCTCATTCCACCGTGCTACGCGGAGTGACTCCCATCCGAGTGCTCGCAGGCCGTACGGACACACACAACCAGCAGCAGGTGCAGGTCCCGCACAGACGCCCAGACACAGCCCACAGCTCACAGCCAACAGCTCACAGCTCACAGCTCACAGCTCACAGCTCACAGCGGCAGGTACGCACGCCTCGGGACCCGCTGCCGCAGACGTTGCTACATCCTGTCCTAGTGACGATGTAGGAGCATTTACAAACCCCATACCCATCCCGATAAACACTCACAACCCACAGGAGGACCTTCTGCAACCAACAGCAGACGGACTGGTGAGCGTCCGAATGCTGCAGGAGAAGAGGAAGTAAAAGCATCCGATTGGTCGACAGGAAGCAAAACGCTCCTCAGCTGCGGAGGCCATGGTTGGGCATATAAAAATCTGAAGGAACTTACAAAAGATATTGGAACTAATAACTGACTTAGAAAGCTTACCAGATACAATGTTAATATACCAAAAATAAAACCAGTGGTATTTTTATACACCACAGCAAGTAATCAGACCTTGAAATTAAGACACTTAGGAATTGATCTCACAAAAGATAAGAAGGCCTGTACACTGGAAGCCGTCATTCTGATGGAGCCTCCTTTCCCAGGTGCTCACCCAGAAAGGCTCACGTGCGTGTCCACAGATCAACCATGTGATGTTCAAAGCACTTTACTGCCAACGACCCCAACTGGGAGCCGCACGGAGGGCCCTCCCACTGCAGGTGAGCGGCCCCGAGGGCACGGGGTTCTGAGAGGAAGTGCTCACAGCGGGCCACCCGGAGCCACCGGAACCGTCCCCGCTCACGGCCTCACAGGGCCGAGGGCCACCCCGGCGCTTCACACACGTGAGCAGCAGCACAGGCGGCCAAGACGGAAGCCAGAGGCCAGGAAACCCGCACTCCCAGCTGGGAACCGACAGGGAGCATGGCTCCCAGGACTCCCAGTGTGCACAGCCCGAGGGCCGGGGCGGCGGGGGGCGGGGAGGGGTGGGCAGGTGGGTCCAGTGGCCTCTCCCGGCGATGCTGCAGCTCCAGCAGTTTCCACGTCTCCCCTGTCTCCCCCGCCGCCACCCTGAGCTTCCAATGGTCAGTCACGGTCACTCGGCAGGAGTGGCCATGGCCAGGATGCCTCAGGGCAGGGCTGCGCCTCAGGGACAGGGAGCTGCAGGCAGCGCTGGGCTGGGCTGTGGGTCACAGAATCACAGAAGCAAATGCTGGACGGCCCTGCAGACCTGCCGTGCGGTCCTCCTGCTGCTTAGGGACCGTCTGCCGGGCCACAGGGTGCGAGGCAGCCCCCACCCCAGTTCCCACTGCGCCCCGGCCCAGCCTGGCTGCCTAAAGGCCTGGGACCCCAGGTGTGGCTTCAGAAGCTCCTGTTACTACACAGCCCTGCAGCCTCCTCACTCTCCCTGCTCCCCACCTCATGGCCCTCCGCCTGCCCCCGACCCCAACAGGAAAGGGCCGCAGCCCAGGCGCCCGTGCCCGCACACGGCGGGGACAGCCCCTTCGCGCTATCACTGCTCATCTGCGCCCGGGGCTCCGGCAAAGGAGCAGGAACTGCCACGGCCTACACCATGGAAATTTCCAGAGCACCGCCACCGGCGAGCCGGGGAAGGCCCGGTCACACCCGCCCGTGGCCTGCCTCCTCCTCCGGAGCCCAGTCCTCCCGGGGAGGGGAGCAGGCAGATGTCCAGGACAAATGCCCAGGACAGCCCGTCGGCCGGCCAGTCTCGGCCGGCCTCGGTGGCCCACGGGGCTTTCCCACCAGGAGAGCCGCACGTCCTGCAGCTGCCGGTGTGCACGCTGTCCTCACGGGGTGTCTGGGACAACGGGCCTGGTCTCTCACCTCCTGAGCAAACCCAGGCAGCCCGCGGAGGCACGTGCAGGGCAGGTGCTGGGAGAGGGCCCGGTGCCGGGCTGGCGGGAACCTAGGCCCCCCTGGCCTCCGCCAGAACAGTGCTCCCCGCCACTGTCCCTCCCCTGCAGCGGCCTGAGGGGCCCGAGGTTCCAGCCCCTGCGGTCTGCCTCTCCCTTTCAGAGAGGGGCCAGGGGAGGGCGGGCGGCGGGGCCAGCGCTCCCACTGCCTTCCCAGGAAGCGCAGACCGCAGGAGTCAGGGCGAAGCAGTGACCTTGGAGCTCCTTGGCTCCGCTCCCGCAGGGTTGCCATGGAGAAACCGCTGTTCCGGGGCCAAAGGGGCCCGGTGTTTCCAGAGGCTGCGGGCCCTTTGCCCCCTCCCTCCGCCCGGAAAGGGGAGGATCCAGGGTCCGAGACCACATGCAGCCCCAGGTGCTTCATCATGGCACCGAGCAGGCAGCACAGCCACCCAGAGCCCAGGTCACCGCCCCGTGGACCCCTCCTCCCTCCCCCTCACGACACGCTCCCACTCCGGGAACAGTCTAGAATTACCGCCCCCCGCCCCCCCCCCGAAACTGGCCTTCCAATCCAAACAAACAATCAAGCTCTCCCGACAGCCGCTCCCTCCTCCCCTCGGCCAGCAGCCAGCGTGGCACCTAAGACCTGCTGCTGCCCACCGCAGCCCCTCACCACCGCCCGGCGGCACGGGCGAGGCGCCAGCGGCGCGGGTGGCAGGGCCATGTGCGCTCCGGCCAGGCCGCCCACCCACGGGAGCCGTGGGCAGCACCGAGCACCGGCGGCACCGCCTGGGCACTGGCACTGGCACTGGCGGGGAAGGAGGCTGCTTGGGGGAGGAAGGAAGGACGGGCTGGGACCCCAGCGCGTTTCTCACCAGGCGCGTGCCCACCGCCGGGTTTCACGGGGTCACGATGACACCTCCCACCTTCCTATCTCTCAGGACTCACACCGAGTCCCACGGCGGCTCTGGCCTCCAGGACGGTGAGCCCGAGCGGAGGGGCCACCGCGAACACACCCCCCGGCGGCCTCCGCCCTCTCCCTGGCCTCACCCGGACCCCGCTCGGACACGAGCCCCTGCCCCCCTGCCCCCCTGCCCCAGTCCCCGGGCCCCCTGCCCCGGCCGTGCTGAGGGAGGCAGGTCTCCCTGCACAGCTCCCGGTCCAGGCGGTGCTGCTTTTCACTCCAATCAGCACCGTGTTTACAGGTTTTCAGAGTGAGCGCTGCCTGGATGAGTTGGGTTCTTTGTCTGTCAAACAGTCACACACTCACTCACCGCCTCTCTTCCCCCAGCAGACTGTGGAAATTTCCACTGAACTCTGGGTGGCTCCCGGTGAGAGGGAGAGAGGAGGAGAGGGGAGGGGAGGAGGAGGGGAGGGGAGGGGGAGGAGGGGGGGAGGAGAAGGAGGGGAGGGGGAGGGGAGGGGAGGGGAGGGAGAGGGAGAGGGAGGGGAGGGAGGGTTTGGAGCCAAAGCATCTCGGAGCCTTTGGAGACAGAACAGGCTGTCTGGGTGCCAGTCCTGGATCTGTGGGTCAGACCGAGAAGCCAGCTCCCCACGCAGAGCCCCCACCTCAGGGCCAGGCTCTGCCCGAGAGCCGCTCCTCTCACGTCTGCCAGCTCCGCACACCTGGCCGGCCCCGGAGCCCCCGGGCCTGCTGCCTGCCCTGCGAGCCCCGGAGCTGCACACGGACGGGGCTGCAGGCCGTCATGGGGTATGGGAATGCACAAGACACGGAAATGCCCGGGGCATGGGTGTGCACGGGACACGGGAATGAATGGCAACATGGGAACGATGGGACACGGGAACACACGGGAACGCACGGGAACACGGGGCCGCCGGGGAGACCACAGCAGGGCGTCCGTCTCCGGGCTGGTGCCAGCTCTGGGAGCGGCTGCGGACAGTGGGGAGGAGTCGGCCAGATCGAAGTGCTCCTCAGAGCAGCTCCTTGGATCGCCGTGACCGCACGGAGGGCAGCCCCCGCGTGCAGCCAGGCTTTGCTGTCACACGGGTCCCGTCTCAGAGCAGACGAGAAGCAGGACGGCAGGAGGAGAGCCCCCGGGCTTGTGCTCCGGTCAGCCGCTTCGCTCGGCCACAGGCAAGGCCACGCCGGCCGGCCCGGGCTGGCCACGCGCCTCTGCTCCCGCCACCAGCCGATCCCCGGAGAGAGCGCCTGGGCCTCACGCGCAGTGGGGAGCACTGGGGTGCCGCTGCCGCCGCCGCTGCTCAGACCCCGCCTCCAGATGAGCGCCCCTCCCGCCGCCCTCCTGCCCGTGTGCCGGCCAGTCTCGCTCCGGAGCCGGGGACGGTGCTCCTGCACAGGCTGAGGGGCGCCGGGAGCACAGGCTCACAGAGAGAACATCTAGGGCCTCCACGAGGCCGGAGCAAATGCCGAGAGGGAGGGACCAGCCTCCTTGAACCCGCGCCGAGGCCGGTCTCCAGACACGGCCTACGCCTCCACCTGGGCAGCAGGGGCAAAAGACTCACCCCCTGCACTCCCCTGTCCCCCCACCCCCCAACCTGCCCCCCACACACACCCCCGCACCCCAGCCTGGCCCAATAGTCACTGCCCCCATTCCTAAACGCACACACCGGGGCAGCTGACGTGGGAAGTGACTTCCCTGCAAACAGCCTGTCAGTCTGTCAGGCGACGCTGAGTGCCACGGTCCCTGATCCAGGAGGCCCGGCCCAGCTCCCGCAGGGGCCACGGAGCGAGGGCGGCACTGAGAACACGCGCCGTCACCTCCGAGTGTTAGCCCTCGGGCGGTTCCAGTGGGAACAGGTCCCAGGACGGACAGCAGCCTCAGGCAGATGTTCCGGAATGCTGCTGTTCCTACGCAGGCTGACCCAATGCACCCTGGGCTGTAACGACGGTGTTTCTACTTCTGCACAAACGGCACGCAGCGCCCTCCGGGGCTGAGCCCAACTACGGTCCCTCCCACGGAAGCCCCTGCACCCTGCGTGGCACGTGTGCGGCCGCGGCGTGATGCGGGGAAGAGGGGGTGGGGAACGGCAGAGGCAGTCACCCCACCGAGGGGACGTCCTGGCAGCCTGGCTGTGAGCGGGCGGGGAACCTGCGCGGGTCCTGCCCTCGGCGGGCGGTGCCCAGGTCGCCACGGGCAGGGCAGCAACTGCAACTGGAGCTCAGCGACCACGACATCACAGGAGCCGCCCTGAGGCCAGGAGGCCGCGCCACCCCTTCTCCCCGCAGCGCACACACAGCGCGCACGCACGCAGCGCAGCTTGGGGCACCGGCTCACGCAGCAGCCTCGGGGCGGGTCAGGGCCCGCCGGGATCCAGGCTCCGGGGCGGTGAGGCCGGCCGTGCGAGGTCCCGCACCCCGAGGCAGACACGCCCTGACGGCCTGCGGAGCTAGCACGGCACAGGCCACTCACTGGGGAGCACCACCTTCCACAGCGCCAGACACCGACGTACCCCGAAAACCGGCGTCAGCAGAGGCTCCTGGGGGAGCAGGAGGAGCCTCTGGTGAACGAGCCAGGGGCCGCAGCAGGGCCAGGGACGGCACCTGTGCCACCCACGAGGAGGCAGCGCCGCACGGACACAGCTGCCAGGGTGCGGGGCTCGGACGCGGCAGCGCCACCTGCCCGGAGAGTGCTGGTCACACCGGCCTCCCCAAAGGGCAGAGGGCGCCGCTGCACACCGGAGAGCACGGACGGACACACACACACACACACACACACACCCTGACTCCCCGCAGTGCCTTCCCCAGAGAACCGGCCCCCGCCCCCCCACACTGAGTCTCCTCTCCAAACCGAGGCAGAGGAGCCATACGCAGCAGCCCTGCTGCTCAAGCCAAACCCCTTCGTGGTGACCGTGTTTTTAACGTTACACGCACAGCCTCCACCCGCACCGTTACTATGACGGAGCAGGAGGAATAGCCACTGTGCACGCACGTTGCCTAGCAACGCCTCAGGCGCTCCGCAGAGGTGTGTGTGGGCAGCAGAGCACAGCACACAGGTGCGGCCGCCAGGGGAGCAGGCAGGGCCGGCTCGGCAGGGGTGACGCAGTGAGTGTCTCAGGGAGCGGCCGGCCCGCCGCCTACCCCACAGACCCTCCATTGCATGGACGTCCGCCTCCGCTTTCCTGCCCTCCTCCAGGGAGCCAGCGGTCCCAGCTGCCCCCGCCAGCCAGCAACCAGGGCTCAGAAAGCTTCGTACCAGCCCCACCGACTGGGCTCAGAGGATTCTCCCCAGCACTGTTCTCCTGCAGACTCAAAGCCTCGGCCTGTGTGAGGACGTGGTTATATATAGGGTGCCCCCAAAATGTATACACACTCTGAGCAATTAACAAGGCATGTTTATCCAAGTACATCTCATTTCCGAGGCGGCGCTCTCGGCTGCCAGGCTGTGCGTGCACTTTCTGGGAGCCCTGGGCTGTGTGACCACAGTCCTCACCAGGAGCTGTGCCGGGGGCGGAGCGGATGCCGGGGTTGGGCGCTGGGTGAGGCGCAGTCGGGGGCACCTTGGGCTTGTTGTCTGCAACCTGCACGTCCACGAAGGACGCACTGAGCACGTGCATGACACACTGCTCGCCAGGTCTTTTCGAGACCCCATGGAACAGCGATGCAGAGGGAACATTTCCCAACCGGAAGCTTGAACGCCCATGCTCCCAACCCGACCTGTCTGTACTGATCACAGGGAGGGGCCGGCATCCCCACACCCTGCTCGGCCAGGCAGCTGCAGGCCCCGGGCAGCAGGCCCAGCTCTTCCTCAGGCCCGACCCCCTCCGGCAGCCAGGACTCACCCTCCTCTGGTGTGCCGCTGGCTGTGGGCAGAGATCCGGTAGGGCAGCGCCCGCTCCCCCAGGTTCTCCAGGTTCCGCACCACCGCGCCCCTGTCCATCAGGGCTTCTATCGTCCGCTTCAGCGCCGCAGCGGTCTCAGGCTGTTTCGTTTGTTTTTAAAAAGAAGGAAAACACACATCAGGACCAACGTAAGGACTGGAATGCCCGGGCTGTCAGCTCTAATCAGAACAGCTCTACTGGCAGAAACCTTGGGTCAGAGCTCCAGAAACGTGGACTATCTTAGATTAAAAAGAGGGAGAGCGAGAGAGCAGGAGAGAGAGACGGAGGGAGAGACATTACTGTAAAGAAAGCGAGGGCTCACAGGGGCGAAGGGAATCGGCGCGGCGGGCGGAGTTCAGGGAGAGAGGCTCCGGGTCGGGAGGCAGGAGCTTTGGGTGGCTCTCCCGGGCGCCGTGGCCGGGATGCAGCAGCGCCGGTCAGGGTCGGGCCTGGTCCCACGGCTCCCAAGTCCAGCTCCAGGGGCGAGCATCCTTTTGGCAGGACACAGCCCATCTCACCAAAACCACAGCCCTGGGCAGGCGTTCCCCCCAGAAGCGCGGGGAGACTGACCCCAGGAGGCCGATGGAGCCCCCCTCAGCCCCTCCCGGAGCGCACCCTCAGAGGGAGACAGACACCAGGCAGGGCCAGCGGCGGGCAGCACACGGGCAGCGCTGGCGGGAGAGCACGGCAGCGGGGAGGCGGGTTGGCTCCAGACAGAGGGAGACACGGAGGACGAGCGACCAGGCTGGGGAAGCGCAGAGGGCGAGGGGCCCGAGGAAAGAGCCAGGCGTCCCAGGGCGGAGGTCAGGATGGGGGGTTGAGAGGAAGACACTTCCCGCCATGAGTCCCATCACCCAGGGAGAGAAGACTCCGCACTGGGACACAGCGATGGGGGCAGAGCGGAAGGTGGCAGGTAGTGACCCAGCTGAGGCTGCTGGCCCCGTGGGCTCTCCCGGACGTGTCAGCAGGCACCGTGGCCGGGAGCTGCCGGAACCAAGCGTTCCCGAAGGCTGTGTCTGCACAGACAGGCTGGGGCAGACCTCTCCCACCGACTGCGGCCATGCGTCCTCACTGCCGTGCAGCCCGTCTTTCCACAAAAGCATTTCATTTCAGAGCGACTCCGGGATGAGAGTGGTGGCAGGGCGGGTCTGGAGTCAGTCTGGGCGGGACTGTAGCTGGAAGTCACTGGGCCTGCCCCCTGCCCAGTGAGAGGGACCCAGTGGTGGTGGCCTGTCTGTGCTGTGGGGTCCAGAGGGGTGTTCTCATTTCAGGAAGGCTCGTGTCCCTCTAATTCTACCCTTCGATCCCACTTTAACCCTGGGATCCAGTAGAATATGTTTTTGCGTAGTGACCCCGCGGATAGTTGAAGCTAGCTATTGGGTTTCCTCCACCTGCAGTCACTGCACTGGCAAAAACAAGCTCCTGGAGGGCAATTTACCAACAAAGATTAAACGTGTGCGCCTTCAATCCCACTCACTCCTAGATTCACTCTGAACGGGCCACGCCCCCGGCACAGGATTTAACTGTGGGAGTGTCACTGGGACGGGGGTAGGTGGAAACAGGCAGCCGTCCGTTACAGGAGCCGGTTCAGTACCCTATTTTCACTGACCGGACCAGTCCCGAGCAGCCGTTAACACAGGGCATTGAGGCTGACGTGCTGACATGAAAACACTTCTATCATAAACAATCAGCATGCGAGGCCACCTCCTGTATTCTCCAAAGGAGAGTGTTAACGGTGTGCACACCGAAGAGAAGTCTGGGTGAACAGGCACCAAACGTTATCAGCTTCCTCTAGGCAGTAAGTATTCTTTTTAACACTTTGTTATCCGATTTCCTTAGCGAGCAATGAAAAGGCACTTCAGGGACAAACTTGTGGGCAGGCGGAGTCTTGCTTTAAGGACTGCTTCCCCTCCACCCGTGCCAAGTGCCCTTACAGCAGATGCCAGAACAGGCCCTCTGAGCCAGGGCCCGACCCTCCGCCTCAGCACTGCGCCCTCCCTCGCCGGCCCCGCCCCCGGCTGCGGGAGGCGCACCGACCAGAGGGCGGGCGGCTCAGTGGTTACGGAGAGCCCGTGGCCATGCTCTGGCACCGGGGGGCTGCCACTGCGGCGGCGGCTCCATCTCTCGGGAATTGGGGAAGAGAGTCTGAATCAGGGCTGGGTCAGGCAGCCAATGGAATGGAACAAGGTGAGGAGGAAGTGAGAGGAGCTTGCTCATTCAGTGGCCACGTGACCAGGACTGTCTGGAGACCCAGGAAACCTAACATTAAAGTGTATTCTTCAAGGACAGTAATGACAGTAGGAGCCCAGAGCAGGATGGAAGGAGAGAAAGATCCGAGAGCAGGAGCCCTGGCTGAGCCCAGCCCAGATCAACGCCAAGCACATGCCAGCGCTGAGGGTGCGGGCGCAGAGGCAGCCGGTGGCTGTGCCGTGGCCCCAGCTGCAAGGCAGGCAGAAGCCTCAGCGGTGAGCGGGCTCGCAGGGGCCCTGGGGGGGCCCTGCTGCCCAGGAGCTCAGACAGGGATGCTGGCACACGCATTTCCAGAAGGAGCCCAGAGCAGGGACGTGCCGGCCGCCAGTCCCTGTGTCTGGATGAACACAGATCTGTGGCTCAGCCACACAGCTCTCTCCCTCTCAGCCCGCCGTGTCCGAGGCCTCCGGGCTGGAGTGCCATTCGGAGGCCATTCTCGGTCAGGATTGGTAAGTCCGAGGGCACGGGTGGCATCGCACACACTGGGATCATCGAGGGAGCTCTGGAAACTACATGCCTGCACCCATCCTCGGAGGTTTCTACTCAGTTGGCCTGGGTTTCAAAAATCTTGGCCAATAGAATTGTGTCCAGCCCAGGTGCACACCAAGGTGAGAACCAGGTTCCGGAAGGAAGGTGCTTGGCTTCCATCCCCCTGAGGTAATGTTATGAAGGGTTTTCAGCAACCATCTCCTCCAGCTCTGACTGAAGGGTCACAGTGCTCCCCTTGGCTCCCGGCACTAGGAGCCCCCCTTGAATGTGAAAGAGCCATGACAACCCGGCAGGTGACTGCTGGTTGATACCACCTCCGCGGCAGGCAACGGTAGACCACGGAGCCCGTGCTTCCTCATCGGAAGGCATTCCCGAACCCGCCATCTGTTCCCGGGAGATTTCCATTCCGCCCCTCCAGATGCGCATACAGATGAACACAGGAGCCAGGAACAGATTGGCAGGAGGCCCGTTACTATGGCAGCGGGTAAATGAAATGCCAGAGCCCGGGAAACGGATAGGAGAGCAGGCATCAGGTGGACACCGCCGCTGCCTGTCCTGCTGACGGCTCTCCACGCACAATTCAGCCTGCCTGCGCCTGAGCTCGCCGGGAAGAGGACACTCGGAGTGAGTGACAGGAGACCAGGGAGGAGAGTCAGCAAAGGCTCCGACTCTCATGACCAAAGGGTTGTAAGAAAATTCTACTCAGATCTGGTGAGTCTTCTAAACATCTGTGTGGGATTAGCAAAAAGACCAGTTAGCTGACTGGTTTAGAGGGGCAGAACCAGAAACGCGGGCTGTGAAGAGTCGAATTTGCATACGAGCTGAACAACAGGCCGAAGGTGTGTCCACCGGCTGGGCCGCCCAGTGGTGCTTCCTTCATTCAAGTGGTGGAGGAAGGCAGGTGAGGGGCTGTGCGTTACAGGAACCCACCTCCCCTCTGCAGTGCCCTCCTCTGCAACCCCAACGGGTCCCTTCCATTCCCCCCGGCCTGCAGTGTGACTATGGGGAGCACCCCTCCTTCCCTCAGAGGCCCCTCCAGGCGGCATCCTGCTTCCTCACTGCAGGCTGAGATGCACAGGCACAGGCGCCCCATAAGGTCTGAGGGACACACGAGCCAACGGGGAAAGGGAAGACAGAGGTACGAGCTCTCCCTGCACCTAATCAGCTAGCCAGGAAGCCAGGAAGGAGCCAAGTCATGAGATCCGAGGACAGCAGGATCTGCTGCAGAGGAACACAGCGACATTTTGGGGTGAGGGTGGGGGTGAGGTGGGAGAGGCAGAGGTGCACAAGGAAGCTAGCGCACAGCCTCTTAATCAAAAGCAGCTGCAAGTTAAGGAACCAGGAGTAAGCAGGTGAAAGACAGAACAAAGACATGGCGAGACTCATAAAGGTGCCTCCAAACATCTAAATGGGTTCTTGGACCAGAATAAAAAAGTGAAACAGTGGACGTGCAGCCGTCTAGAGTGTGCAGGGAATGTTACACCCGAACTACGGTAACCACGAAGACTTCTGGAACTGGAGTCAGCAAGTTCCATGCAGACACACGAGGCCTTCAGAGACCCGCCCCTGGCCATGACCATGAACCCTGCGCAGAACTGGGAGGAAAGACGGCGTGGCCGCCCTCATTTTGCCTGGTTTGTTTCTCATCCCACAGTCTCTAAGAGCAGCAGCATCAGCTGGGGTCCACATTCAACTCGAAGGCCACATGCAAAAGGGGAAAGCAATTGCCTCAAAATTATCGCCCCCAAACCTTAAAAACTCAGTTTGACACCATCATAAGATAAGCAAGAATTACCAATGGATACGGAAGGCAGGGATTCGAGTTCAATGAGGAATACGTTACTTATAGTCGCCAATGAGCTCCCCACAAAGATTTATTACGAAAAGGAAGGAGGAAGTTGACAGCGGAAAAGCCGTGGACCACCGGTGGGTCCTGAGGTCCGAAAGTTTGGCAACGCTGATCTAAACCAAGCATCAAGCCTGATGCCACCCACGCAGGACAGCGCGGCCCCCGCCTCCGTGTGAAGCAGCGAGGACGCGGTGCTTATGCTGCCTTCCAGCCCAAGCTCAGCGACTGATCCTGAGGAAGCAAACAGATCCAAACGGAGGGCGGTCACAGGACCGTCCTCCAAACGTCAAACACCTCAATGCCCGAGGCAGAGGCTGAGGAACCACCCGGATCAGACAGATGAAAACACTAAATGCAACGGACTGGCCTCGGAACTTAAAAAAAAAAAAAAAAAAAAAAAAGCTGTGCTATAAAAGGACCTAATTGAAAAGCAACTTGGAATACCTATTTAAAACGTATCACCATTGCCGGGACCGGTTTGGCCCAATGGATAGAGCGTCGGCTTGGGGACTG